GGGGGGGGAGAAAGAAAAAAAAAAAAAAAAGTAACAGTCATTCATGAGAATGTGCAAAGTAGGGGTGTGCATTAGTCTTGTGTTTGTGAAAGACTTTCATTGCTCTAGCTCACATTTGTTAATATGTTATTAATTCATAAAGTATATCATTAGTAAGCAGTAATTAATGGGGAAGCATGGGGTGTGCACTAGTCTTGTGTTTGTGAAAGTCTTACATTGCACTAGCTCACATTTGTTAATATTAGTGCTGTGTTTGATACATGATACGACAATGTATCATCACAGAGATTTGAAGATATGAGTATCGACACAGCTGTCTCTGTATCAATATTGTGGCACGTATGCAGCAATGGACCGCGCTTAATTTGAATACAAGAACACTGTTTTAAATGGAGTAGAAAAGTGTGAGGATTCTAAAAAAAGAATGAATAGAGCATAATATAAAGGCTACAACAAGGTTTAATCTGGCCGCAGAGAAACACAACTGGGGTTGCCTGATATAAAGAGACGTAATCCCCGAAACAGAGCTTCCCACTTGTGCAATATGGAAATATCTACTAAGTGTGTTACTTATCTTTGTCAACCTGGCAACCATGTGTACGCGCACTCTCTCCACTGTGGATAAATGCACTTGCTTTCTGAAAACACTGGCAAGCTTGCAGTTTTAGCGATCTCCACTTCGATATTCTATTCTCAGAAAAGTGTAATTCATCAAGTGTTCATTTACGAGAGAGAGTCTGTGTATGTATGAATTACCACAATGCGTTTCTCTATTAAAGGGGTCCTATTATGCTCTTTTACAAAGTCTTGATTTTGTTTTGGGGGTGTACTAGAACATGCTCTCTCATGCTTGGTGGTTCGAAAAACGCATTATTTTTCACATAATTTACATTATTACAATACCTTTCTCCCTAGCCTGGCACAAACAGCTCGATTAGTTCTGGGTTTGATGAAGGCCCACCTTCCGAAAAACAAAATGTGTTGTGATTGGTTAGCTGTTCCAGTGCGTTGTGATTGGTGAACAGCTTAGACGGTGTTTCAGTACTGCACCGCTCCTTGCCAAAGCAGCAAGTTCCGTCCGCTCCGGTATATTTAAGGATAGTGTCAATTAGGCATGGGCCAATTACCGGTTTCAAGGTATACCACGAAAATACCTTTCTCCCCATCCTGGCACAAACGGCTCGATTAGTTCCGGCTTTGATGAATGTCCGCCTTCCGAAAAACTAAATGTGTTGTGATTGGTTAGCTGTTCCAGTGCGTTGTGATTGGTGAACAGCTTAGACGGTGTTTCAGTACTGCACCGCTCCTTGCCAAAGCAGCAAGTTCCGTCCGCTCCGGTATATTTAAGGATAGTGTCAATTAGGCATGGGCCAATTACCGGTTTCAAGGTATACCACGGTTTGAAAATTAGTGGTTTCAAAACCACTAATATTTTCCGTTATACCGTTCCTGCGGTATGCGCTGTTTTTCATGTTTCCTCAAAGACTGAAAGAAAGTGTAGGAAGGAATACCTCAGGTTGAGTGCAGTGAGTGACACGACCCCCCTCCTGTTGGTGCAGCAGTCAGTCACGTGTGTGTATGACGGCCGAAGGAGCTTCCCCTGGAACTTACGCGATTGGCAACCAGATGTTTTTTTTGTTTTGTTTTATTGCAGCCGATCTCTGTTCTGGACTTGCACAAACTGACCGTTCCTGCGGTATGCACTGTTTTTCATGTCTCCTCAAAGACTGAAAGTGTAGGAATCCCTCAGGTTGAGTGCAGTGTAGAGAGTATCACAACCCTCCTCCTCCTGTTGGTGCGAGCGAGCGGTCAGTCACATGTGTGTAGGATGGCCGAACTTAAGAAGCTGCCCCTGGAACTTACGCGATCGGCAACCGGCCGTTTTTTGTCTTATTGCAGCTCGTCTCTGTTCTGGACTTGCACAAACTGCGTTGCAATGCAATCATTTTCCAAAATGTAATTTATGTGAAAATATGAAGACTGTAAACGCCCGTTAACACAGGCCCGAGACGCTGAAGACGAACGCGCCAGAGACGCTGAAGACTGACGCAAGGAGAAAAATACTGTAGCAGGCAGATCACTCACTGTTCATGATGCACAAACTATTGGAAGAAAATCCTCAATATTGATTTGGGGGTTTATATGAATGTGTCTGAGGGGAACTGACTGTCTTCAGAAAAGTTTACGTGGTATTTTCTTTTAATTTCATCTCTGTATAGTTCATATTAAAGCAGTGTTTCAGGCAGCACTGCTTTGTTTACAGCAGTAACCAAGGGAACACTATCTGGTGTTCCAGAAACACCTCCTGATGTCAGAGAGTGAATCTGCGTCTCATTCAGAGCTTCTGCTGTTTGTTTCGTTCAGGCATGTAGTATAATTTCACAAAGCTAGTCAGAACTATCGTAACGAGTTGTAACTAACAATTGTAGTCTGTTTTTACTTCAAATTGGGTTATTATTAAATCAAATTATGTATATGAAATTATATAACTAACTAAAGGATGTGAAATGATATAAATTATGTGAATTATATAACAAATTAAATAACTGTAATTACAGATTTAAGTTAAATGAATGTCAGTCTTTATTTTTCTTTTTAGGAAACAAATCAAAGAAAATATAAACAAAGTCTACTGTTCCTAATATTCTGTATGTTGCTCAAAAGCAAAATATATTGTGTTCAGCGGAAAAAAGTTTTTTATTTTTTTTTTACCCAGTCAAAATATGATATAAATTATGTGAATTATATAACAAATTAAATAACTGTAATTACAGATTTAAGTTAAATGAATGTCAGTCTTTATTTTTCTTTTTAGGAAACAAATCAAAGAAAATATAAACAAAGTCTACTGTTCCTAATATTCTGTATGTTGCTCAAAAGCAAAATATATTGTGTTCAGCGGGAAAAAGTTTTTTTTTTTTACCCAGTCATTTAAAAATAACACATTTTAGAGCTGTAAGGACAATACCGTGATACTGTGAAACCGTGATATTTTTGCTTAAGGTTATCATACCATCAAAATCTCATACCGGCCCATGCCTAGTGTCAATATTACATATCAATTTGAGCCGGTTTCAGACCCCGGGAATATTGAACAAGAGGATCGTGCAGAACCTTTGCATGCACAGATATTGCAAGACATATTAAAGTGGTGACTAGGGTTGGGCCGATAGACAATGGCATTGTCGATCGCCAATGGCTGACAGACATCACGATGTTGAGGCGGCATCGTGACCCCCCACCCCCATACCCCCAGCAATCCACCGCATCCAAATACCGTTTTCGTTAAGAAAATGACGTGTATACGGAACCCGAACTTAAAGGGAATAAATACGAGATGGGAGGAAAATATATATTTCAATACTTTCTCTCACAGTTATATCATTGGGTAATTATACTGTAGGCCTATATAAATTGTTGGCATCGGGGAGCCGCTATTATGCCTGGCATTGAAACTGCTTTTGAGTGCACAATCGCTTTTTAGTTTCACTTTCACATTCGAGATTTGCGATCGCACGTACTCCGTTTATACTATGGAGCAGCAGTACTTACCACCCATTTTACAAGATTAGATGATTTATCAGTGGTGCTCAGAATCTACAAATCATTTGTCATCGTCCTCAGTCATCTCTCCTACTTACTCTGTTTATGTGGTAAGTGAAATTTTATGTACTGTAATGTAACAGGCAACCATTAGCAAACGTTATTTGTTTTCCGTGCCTTTCTGAAATACGGATTCACGCTTCGGGCACCCCCCCACCCCCTGAAAAATAA